TTAGGCTAGCCTGGGCTACAGTGTGAGACTCCCACACTTGAAAAACAAAAGCCCCTAACCCAACACCATCAAAACCACACAGAGGAAAGGAGCCACCTGTTTGGCATAGACTAGTCTAAGAGTTGGATGGTTTGGCACCAATCCCAGTTCTAATACCCTCCTGATGTTTGTTCTTAACCAGACCTTGACTTTTCATAGGCCTTGTTTCAACATCTTTGAAACAAGGTGGTCAACTGAGGTTGTTTCTAAGCAACTGTCACACAATGCTGTGACAGCTGTGTGTTCTCATGGCTTCTGTCTGCTCTCCAATGTCGACTTCTCTTCCTCTACTACAGCCTTTCCCTTAAACGCATATTCTTCTGACTGCTCTCTTTGATAGAAGCCTCCATTTTTTTTTTTTTCAGATGACCAGTGATGTACTGATGGTTTTCTTTTCCATGATAGTAAATTAAATCCTTTTGCACAGAGTAAAAAGGTCTCTAGGTAGAGGTCTTGTTGAGGACTAATGGGTTGTCACAATCCCTACTTACTATTGGTTTTTAAGAATCTCGGATTGATCTTCACCAAAGATCTTTGCACACTCTATTCTCTAGACCTTCCCATACATGACTCTTTCTCATTATTAGGTCTCAGTGGGAGCACTGTTTCTGTGGAGAGGCCCTTCCTTCCTGTTGTGCTGGCTAATTTTATGTTAATTTGATACAAGCTACGTCATCTGAAAGGAGGGAACTCCAATTGAGAAAATGTCTCCATAAGATCTGGCTGTAAGCAAGCCTGTAGGGTGTTTTCTTAATTAGTAGTAGATGTGGGAGCCAGCCATTGTGAATGGTATCACCCCTAGACCAGTGTTCCTGGGTTCTATAAGAAAGCAGACTTAGCAAGTCATGGAGAGCAAGCTAAAAAATAGTGCTCCTCCATGGTTTCTGCGTCAGCTCCTGCCCCCAGATTCCTGCCCTGCTTGAGTTCCTGCCCTGATTTTCATCAGCGATGGACTGTGATATAAAAGTGTAAGCAAAATAAACTTCTTCCTCCTCACATTGCTTTGAAATCCCTAACTAAGACACCTCTCATCCTGTTCACAGCCACCATAATTAACTGTTCTCTGAAACTGTTCTGTTTGTGCTGTGTTTATCCAGTGTCTGTCTCCCATGGTGGAATGCTGTGCCAGGACAGTAGAGACCTTGCCTGCTTCATCCACTTGGAGCAGTGACTGGTTCTTGGTTAGAACTCCCTTAAGCTCTGACTGTGTGCCCCTAGCTGCTATCCTGTGCTGTTGTGAGGAATGAGAGGGGCAGCAGCTGCTGTAGAGGAGACTTAGATGATGTCAGGTTACGATGACACTGTGATCAGTCTATTAAATCCTGACCCTGAGGATTCTGGCTTGCAAGTCCAGCTGTGACTTCATGGTACTTCATATTATGAATTTGTGAAACAGATGAGTTGAACCATTAGAACGAAGACTCGTGTGTGTGTGTGTGTGTGTGTGTGTGTGTGTGTGTGTGTGTGTGTGTGCAGTCTCTTTTCTGGACCAGCCACTGGTCTGTCACTTCACAGGCATTAGCTCATTTATCCTTCATACCAGCTTTTTGAGGTTGCATCTCTGATTAATCTCCATTACAGAGAGGATCCAAGACAGATTAAAAAGCCTATCAGTGTGGTAACAAAATACCACAGACCGGATTGCTTAATCAACAGAAATGTATATCCTCATAGTTCTGGAGATTGGAAGTCCAGCATATCCCAGGTTTGCTTTCCTGTGGATGCTCACATGTCCGTATGTCTGAGCATACCCAGTGCCTCTTCCTTGTATCACAATACCAGCAGTCAGTGGATTAGGACTCCATCTTTATGACCTAATTTAACCCTAACGATATCCTCAGAGCTTCTATCTTCAAATGCAGTTGGCATTGGGGGTTAGAACTTCAACAGATGAATTTGGAGAGAGCCCAATCCAGTAATGCCTCCCCAAGCCACTGAGCTAATAAACAATGGAGATGTATTTGAATCTAGGTCAGATCCCCAGTGCTCCCAGGCACTTGTCAGCGCTATGTGAAGACTTCCTCCCAACTGCCATTTATGAAAGAAGAAGCCTGCGAAGTAGGAGGTCCCATTGTCACCTCTGCTGTGTGATGACCGGGAAGTGCAGGGCAGATGGCTAAAGACTGAGCAACTGCTTGGCATGACCGTGTGGACGTGCTCAGACTGGGCAACTTCATGAAGGCTGCTGTATCTCATTACTCTCCGTGTGTCTGAAGGGAAGGTCACTGTGACAGGAGCCACTGAGCATTGTAATTAGCCAGAAGCCTCTCCCAACCTCTTTGAAAGTTATTGGAGGCTAAATTTCACTTTGGTTCTCTCATGGATAATGTGGCAGTTACCCAGGGACTTGAAAAGGCCAGTAAAGTGTGTAAAGGCAGAGCTGGTATTTGTCTGAGCGTCCTGCTGCAACCCAAGCTTGACAGGAGGATGTCTGGAAGCCAGCTGGGGCTCAGGGAAGGAAAAAGTCATTGTCTAGTATTGCTGATGGGTGGAAGCAGGTTGCTGGCGCATCGCTGGGTCTGTCTGTGCTGGCTTTTGTCAACTGCTTGGTAACCATCCCTGAGCCTCCAGTGTACCAGGCACCTGTGAGAGGTAGACCTGGCCCCTGCCTCTCCATCCTAGCAGATGAACTCAATATTCATCAACATCAGGAGTCACAGAAGGATGCAGTGCACTCAAATAACAATTTTAGCTGTACCTACGTCTTGTCCTCTGACACCACCCCTGTTCTTCTTTCAACTACCTCCCTCTGGCAGGCCCTTGGTAGACCTTTGATCCTTACAGGAAGGATCTGCAGCATCACTCCCACATAGAACCATGCTATTGAGAGTCTCTGGTGATGAGATGTGAAGCTGTCACCATCTCACTTTTCTTCAGTCTCTGCTGTGTTGATGCCCCCTCTCTGCTGGACAGAAGGCTCTTCATTGTCCCAGCAAGCAGATTCTATAGTACACTCAATTCTTTAAAATGTCACCTCTGTTCTGAGCTCTTTTCCATCCTGAATCCACAGCCACTCACCTTGTGAACCATAATTCTGTAACGGAAATGGTCACATTTGCTGATGTCTTAGACATGTGCTATGTATCATGCCACGATATCACGAGATTTGGAATTTGAGGATATCCACGCAAGCTGATCAGTTGAATGACGTGAGATATCATGAGGGATTTTAAGCAATCATCTCAGTTGCTGAATGTATAGTTGGATTTGCAGGTTCTGCATTTGTGGATCTCATTAACTGTGGATTAAAAATATTTTTGGTCTGTCCTTAACATGTACAGACTTATTTTTTTCTTGTCTTTGGTCTCAGTTTCTTTTCTTGCTACTGAGATAAAACACTCTGACAAGAGTCACTTAAGGGAGAAGGGAATTCTGTCTCAGTTCAAGGGTGTCATCCATTATGGTGCAGAATTAAAGGTGGTAAGATCTTGAAGCAGCTAATTACATCACATCTATAATCAGGAAGCAGAGCAGCAGATCCACTCCTTGCTCCCTTTACATACTCCAGGATCCCAGCCCGGGAAAGTTGTACTCACTGGTAGATGAGTTCCCAATCTTAATGAGAACATCAAGATACCCCCCCACACACACACAGGCATGCCAAGAGGCTTTTCTCCTGTCATCTTTTTATTCCTAAAACAATATAGTACAACAGTTGAGACAGATTTACATTATCTAAAGTGTTATAAATGCCTAGGGATGATTTAAGCACCTGCAAGGAGGTTCATGATTTTATGCAAATATGATACCATTTTAAATAAGGTACTGATGCATTCATGAATTTGATACCCTCAAGGGATCTTGGAACCAGTCCTTCATGAATAGCAAGGGATATTGTGATTTATAGCATCTCTGAATCCATCTTGTACAGTTGTAACCAGTCCTGGAAAAAGACTGCTTTCTGTCTTATACTTGGGGGTAATTTTTTTTTTTTTTTTTTTTGGTTTTTCGAGACAGGGTTTCTCTGTGTAGCTTTGCGCCTTTCCTGGAGCTCACTTGGTAGCCCAGGCTGGCCTCGAACTCACAGAGATCCGCCTGGCTCTGCCTCCCGAGTGCTGGGATTAAAGGCGTGCGCCACCAACGCCCGGCACTTGGGGGTAATTTTAAAATTCTAAACTCTCTCTGTGGGGTAGGTGGTGTGTAAAAGGTGCTGGGTTTGATTGGCTTGGCTTCGCTGCTTCTCTCGATAATATTAGCCTGAAAGCAAACTATTTAGACAGCACCAAACAACCACCATGACTCACAGACTCACATTTTTCATTATCCTTGTTAATACTGCCTGAATAAGGCTGACACATTTTTAACTTTCCTACTTGTCTTGTGAGTCTGATGGCCTTCTGGCTTTAATCAAAGTCTTGATCATTGTAACGAGAAAACAAAGTCAGAAAAACTTACATCTACTTCCATGCACAATAATTAAGAGGATTATAGGCTTTTTTTTTTTAGTTCCAGAAAAATTGGCTTTTCAAAAAAATGTTTTTTTTTTTTTTGGGCTAACTGCATTTAGAAAAAACATTAAAAACTAAATTCTGTTAAACTATTGAAAACCACAAGTACACAAAAGAGTAATAAAACAAACTTACACTTCATTCTATATTTGGCATTCTAAAATTTTACAGGATTCTTCTTGTGCTCACATATGTTCTAATCTATTTTGAAAATTAATAGTCATAAACTTTTATAGCCCTTATTGTTACTGTGACAAAATGTCTGAGACAATTATTGTCTACACAGGAAACATTCATGATGACTTATGATTTGAGCAACTTCAGTCCATGGTCTCTTGGCATCACCACTTTAGGCCTTTGGTGGATCATCTCTACATGAGCAGAACTAGTCACCTGATAGTGTCTATGGCCAAGACAGAGTGACAGAGACAGAGAAGAAGGTGTGGGTGGAGACTGGGGTTCTATGCTACCTTCTGATGACACACTTCCAGTGACTTATTTCTTCCGTTTCAGCCTCATCTAAAGTTCCCATCACCTTCTACCAGCTGGGGACTAGGCCTTCAACACATGAGCCTCAGAGGTACACTAATGAACCTAACTATAAAATGCTCTAAGTTCTGTTCTTTTAAAGCCTACATTTAGACATCCTGTTTTTGGCAATGAGCATGATTTATTTACCTGTTCTCTCTCTGTGTGTGGTACACACGTTATGGTATATGTATGGAGGTCTTGTGGGAGTCAGTTCTTTCCTTCTTCCCTATGGGCCCTGGGAATTGAACTCAGGTTTGGTGGCAAGCTCCTTTATCTGCTGAGCCATTTTGCTGTTCTATAAAGAAATTACGACATTTGTTAAGAATCAAATTGGAGCTAATTATTGGCATCAAATCTAACAAGGGCTGGGCATAGTGGTGCACGCCTTTAATCCCAACACTCAGGTGGCAGAGGTAGGTGGATCTTTGTGAGTTTGAGGTCAATTTGATCTGTGACTTGTCACAGAGTTTGATGGCTAGAAATGAATTCCTAGTACCCTCATGGTGAGAAGAGAAAACTGACTCCCTCAAGTTGTCCTCTGACCTAACACTTGTACCCCGGTACCCTTTTTGTACCTGCGCACGCGTGCGCGCGCGCACACACACACACACACACACCGAAAGAAAAGAAAAATGTAATAAAAACTAGTGTAAATGATTAGAAATCAAGAAGAAACAATGATGATAACAGAAACAATTGCATTCCATGTATCAGATAAAAACATAGTTCGTGTATACTTTCCCTCTTTGTTGAAAAGACTCTGAAAAATAAGATTAAGAACTTTTGCATCCACTTCCCAAACCAAACGCATCACTGGTAATAAATAAATAACAAGATAATGATCAGTGTAGCTGGGATGGTCTGCATGATGGACGGGGAGATACGACTCAATTCAACCCCGAATGCCTCAAAATAACATTCACCGGCTTCATAAGTGTATAGAGCGAACCACATAATGATATCCAGACAGGCCTTCAACTTCTGGGACTATTTCCTGGCTATCAACATGGTCTTCAGTTTGTTAACATCCTGCCTTGTTTATCTACATGGTCTCCTGGCACATGATTGAGATGTGACTTAGTAGTTGAGAAAGTCTGTGCTGCCTTCCACTGTCAGGACTTCCTAAGTCCTTGTGCCTTTGATGTTGGGCATCTGGCTGGGGTTATTGCACAAGCCAGATGGCAAGGGCTTCTTGGGTGCGTGTGGGAATTTCAGAGCTATGATGGGTCTCACTGTAGCTACAGGGTTGCCCTACTGTTGTGTGTATAGGGAGAACGAGTGTGAAAAATACATTATCCCAGCAGTTGTCACCTACGCCTTCTCTGGGGACATGACAGCTTTTGTTTCTAATAACGTTCTACTGATATGTTTGAGATAGCAGGTGAGAGAAAGCCTGAAGTAAATGGAAGAGCCAGTAAAAATGCTCAGAAACCAACACAAGGATAGTTCTGTTGTTAAGAGAATCCGAGCGAGGTTGGACATAATATGGGAGTTTGCAAGAAATATCCAACAGACAAGTGGCCTAATGCTGAGATAGGTTGGGAGAGGGGAGGCTGCTGGTTTTTTTTTTTTTTTTTTTTTGGGTGGTGGTGGAGGGAGCTGGCACTCTAAACAGAACCCAGGGCCTTATATATGATAAGCAAATACTGTACCATTGAGGTATGTATGATTCTAGCCCCCAGGAAGCCAACTTTTTAAATGGGTTATTTATATTTCAGCATTACTTCAGAATTTGTGGTGAAGTCAATGACCCCTCTCCCTTACTTCCTTTGAAAACTGGAAAAATGGGGGGCAGGATGAGGCCTTATACCTCTCCATGTGTCCATGGTGGTAGGGTGGTGGCAGTTAAGGAATGTCAAGAAGGTCCATAAAATTAGGGTGATGCCAGATTTCTTTTTAGATCATGAGACTAAACATCCCCCCCCTTTTTTTTTTTTAAAATAAAATAGTGGAAGACAGCTTCAGACCTGAATAAAGTATGGAACTGGAAAATTTGTTCCTATTTTACAGAGCTCTCAAGACATATGGAGGTACCACCTGACATTTCGGATAACTAGGAAGAGGAGAAGGGATAAAGACTATAAATGGATGATGCTGTTGACGAGAAGCCCTTTGGATGTTACCTCCCAACACTGGGACATTGCCACAGCAGAGATACGGCTTCAAGTTTTGGTAATGAGAAAAAAAGAGAGAGGAAACCACAGCTGGGTTCCCTAAGTCAGAATAAGGAGGAAGAGTACTTGGGAAAATTTTGTACATGAAAACGGCAAGATTTGCATTGAGAGGAGAAATGCCAGTGTCCTCCAGTGTGTCCGGCTCAGGTCAAAAAGACCCCAGGAATGGGCCAAGCAATTTGTCTGGCTAGGCATGGACTTCCCTGCCACACTTATTCTTTGGGCACATACAGTTTCTTTTTCTGAGTTGCATGTCCTTGAGACTCTTGCCGTCTTATTATAGCTTTAAAAAGCTGACACACACAGCACTCATCCACGCTGGACATGAGTGACGCTCTGGCATCTGTAGGAACACTCAGCGCCAAAGACGGTGTGTGGAGAAGGACTCGTGTGTTTGAACACTCGGTCATGGGACTTTTAGAAAGTCGACCCTTCCTGGATGAAGTATGTCATAGGTGTCCTAGTTAGGGTTTCTATTGCCGTGAAGAGACACCGTGACCATGGCAACTCTTATAAAGGAAAACATTTAATTGAGGTGGCTCACATTTTCAGAGGTTTAGTCCATTACCATCATGGTGCAACATGATAATGTGCAGGAAGACGTGGTGCTGAAGAAGTAGCTGAGAGTCCTTCATCTTGACTTGAAGGAAACATAAAGTAGTCTGAGACACTGGGTGTGGCTTAAGCATATATGAGACCTCAAAGCCCACCTCCATGGTGACACACTTCCTCCAACAAGGCCACACCCACTTCAACAAAGCTATACCTCCTAACCATGCCACTCCCTTTGGAGGCCATTTTCTTTCAAACTACCACAATAGGCTTTGAGGTTTTACAACCTGGCTCTACTTTCTGTTGTCTCTCTGCTTCCTGCCTGGCAGGCTGCCCTGTTCTCTGTCTGCCATTCCTTCTCCTCCATGATGAGCTGTAGACCCTCTGGTAGGCCAAAGTAAAATCCAAGCTGTTTTCATCAGGATATTTATCATAGCAACAGAAAAGAAACTGATATCCTGGGGGATCTGTGATGATCATACCCAGTCCCTAGTCCCTTCCTCCTGTTGTACTTCTTGTCTACCATGAGATCAAGAAGGTCCTCTGTTACATTTCTCTGCCACCATGATGTTTTACCCAAGGGCATGGGAGAAGCAACCATGGACTGAATCCCCTGAAACTGTGAGTGAGACTATGGTGATATTTTATTTGTGATGAAATGTGATTTTATTTGTATGTTAATAAATAAAATTGCCTGGAGATCAGAGGTCAAAGCGAGCCATAAGCAGAGTCAGGCAGTGGTGGCGCATGCCCTTAATCCGATCACATGGCAGGCAGAGTCTCGGTGTGGTCAAGGACACAGCCAAGTGTGTTGACACACACCTTTAATCCCAGTACCAGCCATAGAGACCTGGAGGTCTGTATAGACAGGCAGTGATGAGGATGTCATGTGGTTGGGTTTAGAGCCAATGAGAAGGTAGAACAGAAAGGCAATAAAAAGACAAGTCAGACATCGCTTCTCTCTGGGGAAGCGATGGTGGCAAGGTGGTAAGGTAAGGTAGTCGTGACTCTCTGATCTCTTTGGCTCTTACCTCTGTATTTGGCTCTGTGTTTCTTATTTACTAAGACTGTTTAGAGTTTCATCTACATGAGACAAATTCTTTCTCCTTCACTCGTTTATGTCAGTTAATTTGGTCACAGCCATACATGAGCAATGAGTTCATTCTCCGGTCGCCCACTTCACACTGAGTGATTTTGAGACTCCAAAAGTTCTCACCAGATTCCTACCTTCACTCATTTGGAGACCCACAGATTCCTATAAGCTCTGGATGACTATTAGGGCCCCTGTCGATGTAGACCTGAGTGTGCATAGAGACACAAGCAGCGAGTCAGCCTGCAGTGTGCCCCAGGCACCATGCGCATCCTTGTACATACTTCTCAACTGTCTCCTTCTTCCTCCCCCTCTTAATTGTCCTACTGGGATCACCACCTCCATCCCCGAAATGCAGCAAGAAACACTCTGCTCTCCTTAGCTTCTGACCGTAACCCATCACCAAGCTCTCTTGACTTTCCTCTCCCATTCTTTCTCCGTCCAATGCATTCTCTTCCTGCCTGCTCCAGCTGTAGCCCATGTTTTCTCTTGCAGGTCTGTTATTCCGATGCTGCTCTCCTCCTCTGCTTTCATGGGGTAGCTGAAAACAGGATGTGAGGTGACTCAGTACAGGTCTGAGAGACTCAGGAAGCGCTGGTCCTAACCATAAAGCGGGGAGTGAGATAGCTCCTGTTCACCCAGGGGCCCTTTGACACTTCATTGTTTAAGTAGAAATCAGTACCCCCTGGGGTCCCAAGGCTCCCCAACTTTGAGTTCACCAATATTGATCCATTTCCTCAAAGCAGAGCTGAAAACACCAGGTCCAAACTTGAACGGGCCACCAGAATTGTAGTTTAAAAAAAGTTGTTTCGAAAAATATGAGATTGGAGAAACATTAAAATAGGCATTATGGGAAAAGCTAGTTCTTATGCCTGGATGTCCTTTCTTATCCTTATTTTACTGTTTAGTATAAACATTATTTTGAATGACATTTTTGGGCTGGGATGATGATGGGATGGGAAACATACTCTTCTGAGTATTTATGGCCCCTGGAGGTCTTAAGATGACCCCGTCTTGAGGACATAATCAGGTTGCCCTGGTAACTAATTTAGGAAGGGTCTTCTACTGTCGTAAGCTGTGAGATGTTCCCAGTACTGAACTGGTCTCTAGTGTTGAACCCAGGCCACCCAGCTAGACTCTACTCTCCTATTTCTATGTGATTTTCTATTAGGTTGTTTTCTCTTCTCACTGATGGCCCCAATATAAATAGACTCAATTGGACATTTAAAACCTTCAAAAGACATGTTTGGGGCCACTACTTACCTTACAGAGGGTTACTGAGACCCCCAAATAAAATCGTAGCTCGCAACTCATTGTGTGTATGGGGTACAGCCGTCCCGATTGCTAGTAAGATTTGAGGCCAAGGTCACTGCAAAGCCCAACAGCGCTCTTGAACTTTGCCTCCAGTACAACTGGAAAGCACTTGTTTTAAAATTTATTTATAAATGGTATTTCTATCTAGTAAACTTCCTGGAACAAAGATGGTCTGATCCAAGTGGATTCTCTGTGCTTCACTCCTAAAACCGAAGTTGTGGCACATTTTAGCCCCCAGTACCCTTCAGATGCCTACGGAAAGGGACCACCCTGTTGTGCCTGTGATTTTCTATTTGGCTTTTCCTTTGGTCTGCTGATTTCTTTGACTCCACCCTTGACTGGAAGTATGGCCTCATGGGACGTGTCTGTCTGGATTATGCTAATAAGGCTGCTGAGTGCCAGGTTGCCTGCCTGGGACACTGTATTCTCCAAGTCCTGCTGGGCAAATGGTCAAAGCCACTTCCCCCTCAGTCCTTGGAGAGTGTGAAGAAAAGCACAAGCCACCTTGGTCAATAGTGTTAAAGACATTTTCACATGACTCAGAAAAAAAAGGCTTGGCCAAAAAGCCCATTTGGTTTATTTAAAAATTCCACTGTCTTATCATTGCAAGAGGGTTTGGAACTGGCAGACACACAGATGCCAGAGATGTTTTGGGTCTGTCGTTGGGTGCAGGCTCAAAGTGTTCAGAATAAGTCGAGTATTAAAACTGCCTAACACATGGTTCAAAAATGTAAATCTTATGCTCATTATGCATTACATTTGGTTCCCTTCTCTCACACTCTGCTAGATTTGTCGAATGAAACAGAAAAAAAGGAAACACCGTGAAGCAATCCCATTCTGAATTTCTTCAGACTTTCCATAGGCCACGTAGTCAGGGATGCTGTATACAGGATTTTTTCTTCCATAAGAAGTAGAGTTTGGACTACAGTGTTTCTAGTTGTTGAGGGAACTCTATTTTAGAGCCAATTGGGTACACAAGAAAAAGAGAAGTTAAAGGAACTCCCTGTGGCCCAGAATACCGCAACAGAATATTTTTTTTTAAGGAAATTAATACTTTCTCCAGCTTTTAATACAAAAATTGTTGAGATCAGTAGAACATGTCATGAGTTCTGGTAACTGCTCAGTATCTTGGCTATTGTAATAGATATAACCATCCATGCAGGTGATACAATTGATAGAACTTAACACATACACACAGACACACAGGTGACACACAGGTGACACACAGGAGTAGTAAATGAAACTGAGAAGACTGAATGTCAGTAAAATGTATCAAGGACTATTTAGCGATTATGATCTCAGATTACTGTTTTGTATAACATCATCATTGGTGGAAATTTTAATAAAATGTGTATCAAAAGAAGTTGATTTTAGTCTATAATAATTGCCATTTAACTAGCTACAGGAATAATTGCAACTCATGTTCATGCACTTTTACTAACACCTGTGTGATCCTAAATCAGTTTTTCCTTTGGGTCCCCGTATTGCCCTGGCTCCTCCAATCCTACTGATCATGATGGAAAGTGTGGCAGAGGGAAGACTAGGGTGGAAAAAAAATCAGGGGAATTAGCCATCTCTAGTTGTTAGTTAGCAACTTTTAGAGGCCCTGCTATAATGTAATCACATTATTAGCCTCCTTCCCTTGATCAACCCAGGCCTAATGAGGCATTAGCTTTACAAAGTTTGAGCTGGAACCTGGCCCAGTAAGGAGAGCTTTCCCTTGGTTATTGGTGTCCGAGTTGGGCTGGCTGTTGGGTATTTGGAAACACGTATGCTAATGTTTAATTTTCTCTCCTCCACCCCGGCTTTTTGTTCTTTTCTTTCTTATTTTGAGAGAGGGTTTCCTTATGTAGCCTGGCCTCAAAATTATAATCCTTTGGTTTTAGCCTCCCGGTGGCTGGGATTACAAGCATACACCATCATGTGTCATACCCGAGTTTTTAAAATTGGGCGCTCGTTGGTTCATTTTTCAAGCTGTGAAAGTTAAAGAATGCCGTGAAGGCAAAGTGATGGGAGTGGGTTGCTGGGGGCTCCTCTGCTGGCAATTAGTCTTGGGATGAGGTGGAGCTCGAGGGAGGTGATTTTTTCAGACCCCGAAGTGCTGGTGGAAAAGCCCTGGGTATGTGAGGAGTCCAGCTCTGCTCCCCTTTCCTGGGTCCAAAGGCTCAGCTAGGCAAAGGGCAGGAAGGAGGGAGGCTTTCTTTTGGCCTCTGGATGAAGCCAGGACCTCAAACCCAGCTTTACCAACGATAAAGCTGGTGGGAAGATCACGAGCTCTTCCTTTGGCTTCTTGTCAAGAGGTTCAGAACCTGAGAGGTTGAAAAATGTGGTAAGATGGACCCTTCAACTCTGCACCAAGAAACCTGTATTACGTCCAGACCCACTGCCTCAGTCATGCCCTAGCCACATGGGCACGCATCAGTGCACCCAGGATCATATGCTCCCCTTTCTGACCCTGAGATAGCAGCTGTGTGGCTGCTACATTGTAGCAAGGAAAACTCCCTTGGTTCAGTACTGTACATTCCTCTTAGACGGTCTGAAGCGGCTGGGCTCAAGCCCAGCAGTCCTGGGGGAAATCATTTGGCCACTATGTCCCAAATATCTCTTCCAAACATGTGGCAGTCAAGGAGACTATTCCTTTTATGACCTCAAGTCATCTTTGACTAAACCCAGCTCAGCCTGTAAGAGAGGAGGCTATGGACACGGTAAATAAATCACCAGTGGTGCAGGCAGCCTGGCTCTACTGCCTGGTGCGCTGGTGAGCCCTGGCTATACCTCCACGGTAGAACAGAGAACAGAACATCCAATGCTAGGGATTCCTCAGGTGACAACAAGGCCCAGGATTCTCAGGCCTTCTCCCCAGCCCTGTCTCTAACCCGCTTGGTGCAGGGTTATGAACCTACGCCTTCCATTGTTTGTTTTGGGAAAAGCATCTACAAATACAGCTGTGGCTTCTTTTTTTTTAAAGTGGAACTTTACTTTCTCAGGAAAAAAAAGAAAGCAGCTTAAAGTTAGTGTCTGAATCTTGCAATTAATAGGTTATTGATGTAGTCTCAGTCAGCGGCATCTGCCATAACAGATACCAAGGACTGGGAAAAACAGCCCAGATCTGCAGTTCTGAAGGCATCTGAGATCCAGAGAGAACGTACGAGGGAACACACTACGGCTTTTTGTCAAGAGCACTGGCCCCAGTATAAGGATCTCCCCTTCACACTCAAATAACTCCCAAAGGTGCCACCCCAGTACCATCCAATTGGCAGGATTAGCATCTCAGTATATGCATTTTAGCAACATGCAGCTGTAACGGA